TTTCAACCTCAGATTTTTCATTCATTAAATACACCCAACACAAACGTGTATGATCATCAATAAAAGTCACAAACCATTTTTTTCCAGAAAGAGTTGTGATCCTAGAAGGGCCCCAAACATCACTATGGATTAAATAAAATGGTTTTGATGTTTGGTAAGGTTTGGGATAATACGTAGTACAATGACTTTTTGATAAAAAACAATTCTCACAATAAAAAGATGAACAATCCAATCCTTTAAACAAAGTAGGAAATAATTTTTAAAATAAGGGAAACTAGGATGCCCTAGTCTAAAATGCCATAGCATTATTTGTTCTTTAACAGGGATAGAACGAAAACTACTCAGACCTTGAGCCTTTTATTACTTGAAATATCATCTTCAAAATAGTAGACCATCTATCATCTTAGCACTGTCAATCGTCTTCCCCAAGCTCTGGTCCTGAAATTCACAATAGGATTCAAAAAAGATAACACAACAATTAGAGTCTTTGGACAATTTACTAACTGATAAAAGGTTACAAGCAAGCTTAGGGACATGAAGGATAGACTTAAGATCAATAATTTTTGAAAGTTTGACCAAACCTTTGCCTGCAATAGGAGAATAAGAACCATCGGCTATTTTGATTTTTTCAGAGCCAGAACAAGGTGAACAAGTTTGAAATAAATGAGAAAAACTTGTCATATGGTCAGAAGCCCCTGAATCAATGATCCATGGGGTAACAATGGAATTTGAACGACAAGATAAGACCTTCGGGTTGTTACCTGTTTGAGCAAGAGAAGCATTAGAAGTACCAGATAAGGAATTGAATTTCAGCAATTTTAGAAGATGATCCATCTATTTTTTGCTGAAGGGAAGTGCCTCGGCTTCATGAGCTGATGGGGCTCGGTTGAATCTGCCTTCCTGCTTACTTTTCCAATTCGCTAGTTTACCATGAATTTTCCAGCAGGTTTCACAGGTATGGCGAGGCTTGTTGCAGTGGTCACACCAAAGGTGGGGCTTTTCATCATGTTTCTTGCCAGTTTTCGCTTCAGATGCGATCCGGGCAGAGGTCTTAACAACACCATTTGATAACTTTTTTCCAAGCATGACTAGCCTGCGACTTTCTTCTCTTAGAACCTCGGAGAAGACTTCACCAATTAAAGGCAGGGGCTGTCATCCAATTATTCTGTCTCTCACTTTATCAAACTCGACATTGAGTCCAATGAGAAACTTGAAGATGCGGTTGTCTTCCACCTTCTTTTTGTAATGGTTGCAATCTTATTTCCACTCATAATCGCTGAACAAATCAAGGTCCTGCCACAAACGTTTTAGAGAGTTGAAATATTTTGTAACACTGTTATCTCCTTGACGGGTCTCTCCGAGTTTCAGCGTTAGTTCATAGACTTGAGACTGATTTCCCAAGTCTGAATACATTTGGTTGACATTGTCCCAGAGTTCCTTTGGTGTGTGGTAATACATATAATTAGAATTGATGTCCTCCTCCTTAGAATTCACCAACCAGGTCATCACCATCGAATTCTCTGCATCCCAGGTCGAGTAAGATGGATCTTCAGGTTTCGGTTCCTTATTTTCTCCCGTCAGGTAGCCGATTTTGCCTCTGCCTCAGATGTACATACGCATGGACCGGGACCAGCGAAGGAAGTTTTCACCATTCAGCCGAATTGTGGTAATCTGGACCGTGTGTGTCTCAGAGTTTTGGACTTGGGACTCAGAGGTCTTGGTCTTGGACTCAGGTACGTCATCCAACATGGTGATTAGGGTTGTTTGGAAGAGAAAAAAAAGACGGCTAGGGTTTTTTTTTTCTAGAAGAATCGGTAAGAGGCTCTGATACCAAATAGGCGATTTCAAGATTAAAAAGAATCTGTATATTGCCGTACAAAGAATGGTTTACAATGCTTTACTTAAATAGGAAATACAAAGAGCTAAAAAAGGAAACTACAGGTTGTGACTACAGAGGCTGTATACTAACAAAATTTCCTTATTCTTATTGACTATCTATATTTACACGCCTATCATATCCCCTAAAATCTGGTCTTATTGAAACCAAATATCTCTTTTTCAACAGTCGCTTAGTGCTATCTTCTTGATGTCATGACACTGTCATGGGTCATGCAGTTTGAGAGGTTTTTGCATGATTGGGTGTTGGAGGAGATGGTCGAGTTTTTGGCTGTCCTTTAATGTCAAACTATTTCTAGAGAGGGGAATTCAGGGGAAAATAGTATTTCTGGAGAGGGGACGGACGTGTGTACAAGTAGTGGGATGTTTGTGGTTCATTCGTTAGTTTTATTGTCAGCTGATGGAGCCTCTGGGGATGTCTTTCCATGGAAAGGTAGTTGGCTCTCACGAGCCTGTTGGCCTTTTTTGCTTGTATGGTGGCTTTGGGGAGGATCTTGGTCTACAAGAAGGAGACGATATATTATTTACAATTGGTGTTGGTTGTGCAAGTGGACCGAGGAGTTTGTTGACCATCTTTTTATTCATTAGGGATGTCAGTTTTGCTTTGTGCCATTTTTTTTTGGATCCAGTGGGTCATGCATGAGTCGGTGGGTATGATTGTTTCTTTGGGTGGATGTCGTGTGTGTCTCCAAGTTAGAGATGCGTGGAGGGCAGCTCCTCATTACTTGTGGTGGGTGCTTTGGAAGGAGAGGAACATGAGATTCCTTGATGGGATGGAGTCCCGTTTGGGGGTTGGTTTGATATTCTCTTCTAAGTTCTTTATTTGTTTGGGCACACGGCTCTATTTCTAAATCTATGGAGATTCTTTTGTCTTTTGTGGGTGGCTTGAGGCTATAGTTTTTGTGGTGTTGTTTCAATCCGCGTCCTTTTCTTTTTTCTTTTTTCTTTTTTTATGTGCTTTTCAATGGATACTTATTTAGCAATATATATATATATATATATATATTTGCTTGCGCATTACATTGTGTGAATATTTTCATGCATTTGTACATAATGCATAATGGAAGTATATTTTACCCTTGAAGGTATGGCAGTTGGGTTCAGGCATGGACCCATTAAGGGCTTAGTGGGTGCTACCGCTAAGGCTGCAAATGAACAGCTCGGGCTCGGCTCGGTTCGGGCTTGTTCGTTAAGCAAACGAGTCGAACCCGAGCCCAATCTTTGAGTTCATTTAGTAAACGAGCCGAGCCCGAACAACGTTGCGCTCGGCTCGTATAAGCTCATGAACATGGGCTCGTTAACGTTCATGAACAAGAAACTGAATGTATATATAAAAGATAATCATGATTCACGTGGGTGGGCCTCTTTGGCTCTATTAAAGCTCTATACCCTACATAAAAATAATAATATATTGTAAACAGTACGCACACATTGGATTACTTAAACAAGTTGTTACATTTTGTGAGGAAACCCTAATTTTGTACAGCCCCAACATATATCTTTCAACGCAGTGGCACTTCCCTTTCAATTTTCAATGCAGCGTCACTCCAACTCTTGCTGGTCGTCAACGGTCTCCAACAACAGAACTATCTCTCTGAATTTTCTCTCTTGGCCTCCTTGTCCTCTGATGATGTCTCTGAATTCTATTTTAGTTTTGGTGGCATCATTATCACCATTGACCACAAATGCAGATGCAACGATTTTCTTCAAATCAGGGAAAGAGATGTAGCAATTTTTTTCAAATCATTGAAAAAGATGCAGTCATGCAGCGATGAGCTTTTCTTTTATTTTTTTAGTTTGGAAGGCGAGCTCGAATCGAGCCGAGCCCCAGCTCGCTGAATTTCTGGCGAGCCGAGCTCCGGCCTGGTTTGACCAAGCTCGGCCGAGCCTGAGCACCGTTATGAAATTGGCGAGTCAAGCCCAAGCAAGGTAAAGCTCGGCTTGACTCAGTTCATTTGCAATCTAGCTACCGCCCCCACTAAATTTTTATTATTTATAAAATTACCTATATTTTTTTTGGAAATCTTAAAAATGTCCCTACTTTTTTGTGAAAATCTTAAAAATGCCCCCACTTAATTTCTAATGATACCCACTATATATTATTGTTGTTCAAGGCCACCCCCCCTCATACAATTCTCTCGGTTCATCACTGATTGGTTCGCTCCATACACTTTCCCCCCTTTCTCATTTCCTTTTCACTCAACAAAGTGACCCCACAGGTTATATAATTCCACCCCTTTTCTACCCTTCCTGGGTTGCATAATTCCATCCCCTTACTCTCTTTTTTTCGTCTACCTTTCCTCACTCTTAAAAGAGCGCATAATGGATATTCCTGTTGTTCCTTTTCCAAGTCCCTTAGTGGCCATGCCTCTATATCTTGGAGTCGGGATTTACTATATTTTGCAAGCATCAGGTCAAATAGGTTCCATGCAAAGTGAGTTGCAAGAATCCCGATGGATTGCGATATTTCAATGGAACATTACAGGAAGAATGATAAAGCAAATTGCCAAAATTATATTGAGGGAATTCCTAAAGAGTACACGGTCGATCTTTTGAACATGACAGGATGAGGCTCTCTCATTCTTGTTGCACTGTGGGAGAGATAAGTTGAGATCACTGGGGTCAAGAGAACCTTTCTTTCACTGGACAAAGCTACTGATATCTTAAAGAAGGTTCCAATTGTCAACCAATTGACGTGGTGGGCTTTGGTAATGACTAGTTTTCTTCCTTGGTCATATTGATGGCTAATTGATATGTAAAATGGTACTCTTGTGAACTCTGATATTGTTGTTGTTGTTGTTATTATTATTATGTATTTATCTTCTTGTTGATAGAAGTGTTGTTTCGATGTGTCTTGTTATTTATTTATTTTGGTATTTACCATTTCCATTTACATCATGTTAGGCTTCTGCAGTAGAATCTGATGTGAAGAAAGATGTAATGTGCCCTTGTTTTGATTGATTGAGTCCTTTTACTTGTCCTAATAGTATCTTGGATATGGCTAGTTTGCATGTACATGGCATTCTACATTCCTTTTCTGATGATGTAGGGTGGCAGAATTTTTTGGTACTGAAAGGATTCACTGACTTCTTCTTTTGATTTAGGAGGGCTGAAGCAAAAGGTTACGAGAATGGTGGTTCATAAAGACACGCTTATGGTAATGAGCTGGCATTTGGAGTACAGATAACTTATAATCAGCGGAACACTATTAAATTGTGTCAAGACTTGTAATGGATTTATGTTGGTAAGAGTTTTTAATTGGACTCGGATTTTGCTAGCTGATGTGAGACCAATACAACTATACCTGTAGTTTTGGATGGAGGAGAATGTTGGTTCTATTATTTTGTAAAACTTTTTTTTATTGAAAATTTTGAAACAATGTTCAACAATACAAATAATAATTATTATGAAAATGCCAAAAGTGTTATAAAGGATTTGCATCCATTGAATGACTGAGGTGGCGGAGCTTTGCGGCTTATTTTCTCGGTCTGCATAGCATGGTTGTTCTAAACATGGCGTTGTATATTAAGTCTGGATATCTTCTTGGTGAATAAATTGGTGGGGGTAAGTTTGCATTGTTGCTCTATGCACCATGTATTGAATGCGAGACATTTCACCCTCGCAAAAAAAAATTATAAAATTATAAGAGTGCGAAATTTTTATTAAAATAAGACGATATGCACTAAAGGCCACCCGAAATAATTTAGAGCCTTGGGCGAAAAATATAATGTGGCTTTTTAATAATATATTAATATTAAATATTAGTTATTTAAAAATCATACTTCTTACTTTGTGAAATGCAAAATTATTAATTAGAATCTTGTATTTAAGTTTGGTTAAAATATACAAATAAATGAAATATGTATATATATAGACAAATTTATAATAACAAAGGTTAATAAAACTATAAAAATAAAAAAAAATTAAAGAAAAAGAACAATTGAACATGATTTAGAAAATCCCAATTCATTAATGCTCCTACAAATTATTTAATAGAATAAAAATGGGTTCAAGTTGAGAGTAATAAGTATTGAGTGGAGAAGAAAGAGTTATAAACTTGTAATGAGTGAGGAAAGCGATGACTTGCTGAGAGAGGGAAAAAAAAAAAAGTGAGTGAGGAATAAGAAAAATAATAATAAAGTACAGCAACATACTTGAGGTTTGCTAAAAAGACACTAAGATGAAAGTTACTTCGTTTTGGGACAGTGACACTCCTTGAGGATTGAAAAGTAGACAAAGGCACCCCTTGAAGCCAACTAGCATGAAAAATTGACAAAATTGCCCTTTGACCATTTAGTTGACCTTTTTAACTCTACAAGTTAAAAAATTGGACGAAACTATCCCTTATGAACAAACAGTCACAATGCTAGGAATATAGACCATATATATATACATCCCAGATGAAGAATATAGACTATATATATATATATATATATATACATCCCCGAAACAGATTAATAAATTGGACAAAAGTACCCATGTGAATTAATAACAAAATTTTTGGTAAAAAAAAAAACCATTTGTTTTCATTCTGCCACAATTTCTCAAAATAACAAAATTGATAACCCACAGTTTTCTCAAAATAACAAAATTGATAACAAAATCGCATAATTCTTTTACTGTAATAAATTTTTAATTTCTTACAAAAAGAAGAAAGTTTGACCAATCTAAAAGGGTATCTATGGGTGTTACTTATTTATGTCAATGTTGTTCAACTTTGCCTTAAAAAAATTGTGAGATATTATGGATGGGTTATCTTCTGAATGGTGTCTTTCAAGAGCTTAGCGATGCTACTGGGTGTTACTTCGCTGCATAGCTCACACTGGATTCGCTATTTTAGTTATTTTCCATTTTGTTTTTGGTAATAACAAATTTGAAAACCCCCATTTGTTAAACAAAAATTAATTTCATTCCGCCACAATTTCTCAAAATAACAAAATTTTTGTTAAAAAAAAACAAGAACAAAGAAAACCACATATTAGTAAAGAAAACAAGAACAAAATTTTCTTGTAAAGACAATAAAGAATACCCCATATTTAGAAAACTGTATAAAGAAAACCCCATGTTTTGTATACAATATTTTTTTGTAAAAAAAACCACATTTTAGTAAAGAAAACAGGAATGAAATTTTTGTTAAAAAAAAACCCATATATATATATTTTCTAAATTAATAGATAATATAGCAAATAAAACAGGAACAACATTTTGGTAATAAAAAAAATAAGTCTAATATTTTGCAATTCACGGGTTCTTAATCTGGCACCAAGTGGCGTTAATTTGTGGCCCTACATTTTCAGGGGCAATTCTGTCATTTTGACAGGTCTAATATTTTGCAATAAATATGAATTTAATATTAAGAGGCAATTTTGTTTTTTCATATGATTTAAGGCCTTGTTTGGATGGAATTTCTTCAAGGGGGTGTCATTGTCTTAAAAACAGGTAACTTTCATCTGAGTGTCCTTTTGGCAAACCTCAAAGAGTATTGCTGTACTTTACCAAAATAAAATAAAAGATAAAAGTTAGAAAAATAATACGGAAAGTTTCACCACTATCTCAAACCCGATTAAATACATATTTAATATTTACTGCGATATAACTTACCAAAAAAAGAAAAAAAATAATGTTGTTGTAAAAAATGCAAACTAGAAAGGAAAAAAAAAAAGTTATTTAAGAATATAAATTTTTGGGACTAATATTAAGATTTTGCATGAGGAGGAGAAGAGATATATAGAAAAAAATATATATATTTAAGGATATAAATCTTTGGGCTAATATTTCTTTATTGGTTAGAGTTAAATAAGGAGGAGAGAGAAAAAAAAATAAAAAAATTAAGACAGCATCAAGTGCCCACCCACACTCACATTACTAGCTAGGTAATGCAAGGTAGTATCGATGACAACTAGCACTCGCCCACACACAACTTGTACGGTAGCATGACAATATAAAACCTTAATTCGTCAGCTACCCCTAATAAGCTCACCTGTGAAACCTATTGATACAATTGACATCAATGTCAAATGATCATTACGAAAAGCACCACGAAAACTAGGCATTCTGTGAGAGTTGTGATATGGTCCAAAGATGTCCGGCCAGAGCACTCTGGCCAATCCAAAACTCTAACAACAATGTCATTGGCACTGCTATGCTTAAGGCCCTAAATCATCAATACTAGAAAAAACTGACAATCTCAAATGCAGTACGGAAATGATAACGAAATGAACTAATTAAGGCAATTAGTCATAAAACACACACACACACACACACACACACACACACACACATACATACAAGTATACACAAGTATACTAAGTAATATCGAAATAGAACGCAATATATATATGTACTAGTATACATTCACAAGTATACTAAGCAGTACTAAATCCATGGTATACAAGTATACGGGCTCAGTATACTATATCAAAATGAAATGAAATATACAACGCACAAGCATACTAGGTATAAGTATACTAAACGTAAATGAAAATCCACGCACCATACCACTAAACACATAGTGTACAAGGGCAATCAAATATGCTACCTATCACATATGGGTCAAGCATCAGAGATACGTTATACATCACTTATGAAGCTAGCACGATAAACAAATATAGTAAACTGAAAACACCTCATCTATATCATCACACAACTACCAAATAGTCACATCCTCTAAACGCGTTTCTAAAACATGTTCAAAACAACAAGGCACATAAACACGCAAGAGTGATTATGCAAATAACGATCCCACAAAATCAAAAGCAAGAAGGGATGAAATGCCTCTCAAAAGGACGAACTCACTGAAAGTGAAGCCCAAAGCCCCGGATGGTTCCAATCTCTCCCCGTGAGGAAATGAATCATCTCCTAGAATGAACACTAAGGTTCCCGAAACAAAGAGTTTACAAGTCTTTCCCAAGACTGACTCAAACCCAAGGTGGAGTCCTAACGCCACACAAAACAACCAACGATGTAATAGATAGTCCCAATACTAACCATTATCAGACACCAATAAGAGGACACAACTTAAGACACCGATGAGTTCAATGAGAACTCTACCGGATCCTATCGAAACCCTAAACGCAACCCCAAGTCTCTGAGGATGAGGGAGAGTAATTAATTTCATCAATGTAATTAATTACATGGAAATACTCATACCTCAACCTTAGCTCGTAAGAGCTGTCCAAGGCAAGACAAAAAGAATCCTAAGTCAACGCACCTATCAAATCCCTAACTATCACTCTAAGAAGAAGAGACATTAGAACCTCGCCATTGAGGCTCATGAAGACAAAACTCCTAATCCCCAAGGAAGGACTTGAGTCAATCCAACTCATCGTCACCATGAAACCCCAAGTGACGATACCAACACCCTAGACATTTCCCGACCACGTCGTGAAGCCACGACGGATGTGAGGGAAGGCTTTAACGCGGTGTGTCTGTACAAAATTAACAAGATGGATGAGGTGGCGTATCTGTACGAATTTGAGAGCGGCGATAAGATTAGACGGTTAGTGAATTAGGGTCGATGAGGCGGTGTGTCTGTACAAATTCGAGAGTGGCGATGATATCAGATGGCTGATGAATTGCTGACACATATTCCATTGGAATCATGTTCAAAAATGCCAGAGAGCGTCATAGTTTCATGAACTTCGAAAATACTACTGTTAAGGGTGGGAGCCCTGGCGTTGAATATATATAAAGGGGTCTGTTTGTCATTTAAAATTATATATATTTTGTATTAAAAAATTGAGGAAAAAATGGTCAATTCACATATATTAGAAGTCAAAAGTAAATTGGGGGTGTAAGTGAAAGTTAAAATCACTCAGGGTATTTGAGTGTAATTTACTCTAATTTTGGAGACAGCAGAAGAGAGATGTCCCAAGGAGAGGTTCCGTATCCAAAGAAAATGTGACGATCCAAACATGAGATGCTCTAATACCACCTGTGACGTTCCGAATTTTCACAAACCCGGATAGTCAATGTGACCCGAAAGTTGACCCAATAACGGATCCGGAATGCGAAAGCGAAAATAAAATAGAAAGTCGGTGAAAAGAAAACAAATGCGGAAGCAAAACGGTGAAAATAGGCCAAATATGCCCCCGAGGGCAAAATGGTCATTTCACATGCAAACAAAATCTCAAGAGATGCACGTCATCCCTAAGATACAATATGACTTCTCATGATGCCACGGAACTTAAAAGAAAACAAAATGTGAAAATGATATTTTAAAAACGGACAATTTTAGCCTGAGGGGAAAAACGGTAATTTTTAGAAAGTTATGGGTACTACCGAGCATACCATTCAATAGACGGTGAAAAATTAACAAAGTTCAAAAAAATTTTCACCCAAAACAGAGTCTAGATGAGGGAGAAAAGGCTAACGAAAAACGGTGTCACGGCGGCTCAGCACCCCAATGCGCGCGCCCCTGCACGCGGCGTCA